CTAAACAGTATTTCAGAGACGGGGAAGAGGGGAGCTTGTGGAATTTCCCATCACAGGGGACAGTAATATCTGCTGGTGTTCGCATTCATTGAGGCAACTGTTTCAAGTGCCCGTACTCCAGGTGGTAATGCAAGAGTGCTGGTATGGACTGACCAACTTAGTTTTGTCAACTTATCTAGTTTTAGCTCCAAAAGTCCAACCTCTTAGGAAACATTTTTAAGGATTTATTTATTTTTATTGAAAAGGCAGATCAAATTTACAGAGAGAAGGAAAGACAGAAAGATCTTCCATCTTCTGGTTCACTCTCCAAATGGGTACAATGGCTGGAGCTGAGCTGATCAGAAGCCAGGAGCTAGGAGCTTTTTCTGGGTTTTCCATGTGGGTGCAGGATCCCAAAGCTTTGGGCCATCTTCTGTAACCAGACCATAATCAAGGAGCTGGATGGAAAGTGGAGCAGCCAGAAAATGAACCAGTGCCTGTATGGGATCCTGGTGCTTGCAAGGTGAGGATTTAGCCATTGCACCATTGCACTCTTTTTATTCCCCCCCCCCTTTTTTTATTCCTATCAAGTAGGACAGTTGGCCACCCTAGTGCTGGATATTACCTACAGGAGCTTAGATGTTGGAAGGCATCCTCTCTTTGTTAAATGTTCATCAAACATTTCTGTACGTACTCTGTTACCTCATCTATTTATGATTCTTGTTTTTGTGCCCTAACATAGGTACTACTAATGATTTTTTTCGTGTGTCCTCTCAAAAACCTGTGAAATTGCCACTAGGATTACATATTTTTAGGAATTAAAAAGTTCAGAGAGGTTAAACCAATCCTTAAAGTCACAAAGCTGACTTTTTAAAGATGTATGTATTTTACTTGAAAGGGTTATAGAGTGATAGGGAGAGACAGAAAGATCTTCCATCTGCTGGTTCACTTCTCAAATGGCTGCAGTGGCCAGAGCTGTACCAGTCTGAAGCTGGGAGCTTGGAGCTTCTTTTATATCTGCCACATGGTTGCAGAGTCCTAAGGCTCTGAGTCATCCTCCACTGCTTTCCCAGGCCATAAGCAGGGAGCTGGTTTGGAGGTAGAGCCAAACTGGTGCCCATAAAGGATGCTGGGGCTAAGCCAGGCTTAAGCTGAGAGCCAGGAACTCAATGCATATCTCCCATGGGTGATAGAACCAATTCATTTGAGAATGAGAAAGAGAGATCTGTCTGCTGGTTCTGGTTTACTTTCCAGATAGCTGCAATAGTTAGCGCAGAACCAAGTTGAAATCAGGAGCTAGAAAATGTCTTATGGGTCTCCCATATGAATGGAAGTGACCTGGGGACTTGGACCATCATTTTTGTTAAGTTTTATTTTTTTTCTTTGAAATTCAGATTTACAGAGAGAAGGAAAGACAAAGATCTTCCATCTGCTGGTTCACTCCCCAAGTGGCTGCAATGGCTGCAGCTAAGCTAATCAGAAACCAGGAGCCAAGAGGTTATTCTGAATCTCCCATGTGGATGCAGGGTCCCTAGGCTCTGGGCAATCCTCTACTGCATTTTATGGCCACAAGCAGGGAGCTGGATGGGAGGTGAAACAGTTGGGATAGGGTCCATAGGAGATCCCGACACATGTAAAATGAATACTTCAGCCACTAGGCAGTTGCACCAGGCCTAAGTTGGACCATCTTATATTGCTTTCTCAGGCACATTATCAGGGAGCTGGATTGGAAATGTAGTAGCCAGGATTCAAACTGGAATTCATGTGATGCTGCTTCATCCACTACTCCACAGTAGCAACTCCAGTGTCTATGTTACTAATCAGTATAATCCATTGCTTAGATCATCTGCTAGACCACCCCCCTTGGTATGTAGGTAAAATTCTTCATACTGCCATTCTAATAAATTCTATCTTCTCTGTTTACTAGTGGAGAAAAGATATTTGTTAATCTTTAAAAAGGTGGGGAGGGGTTGGTGGCATGGTGGCTCAATTGGGCAATCCTCCATTTCCAAGTGCCAAGATCCCATGTGAGTGCCAGTTCATGTCCTAAGTGTTCCACTTTTCATCTAGCTCCCTGCTTTGGGCCTGGGAAAGCAGTAGAGGATGACTCAAGTCCTTGGGACCCTGCACCCACATGAGAGACCAGAAGAAGCTCCTGGATGCTAGCTACTAATCAATTCAACTCTGGGAGTTGTGGCCATTTGGGAAGTGAACCAATGGATGGAAGATCTATCTTTCTACCTCTCCTCTCTTAAATATGCCTTTCCAGTAAAAATAATTCTTTTTAAAAATGTTTACTCCCTGGAAACCCAGGAATACCTACTTTCTGCAGATCGAGCACCAATCCAGTGTCATTGGCATGTCACCTCTTCTAAGGGAATTTGGAAGTAAGCTGAATAGCTCTTGCCCAGAATGAAGAGGCCATTTGGTTGATTAAGTGTGCAGCTTGGACTCCATGACTCTTCCCAAGGCCAGCTCCTTGGAGAAGGCTCCTGGTACAAAACCCAACAGCCCCTCTGGCTGGGCTGTGGTGGTAGACCCAGGGCCAAGAAGATGTCTCTTCCTGAAGCTTTGCTTCTTTCTGTAGGTTTCTGGTGTGGCAAGGGAGACAGAGGACAGGGAGCTGCTGCCTCTGCCCTTTAAAAGCCATCCTGGAACTGCCAGCTGCCGCCATGGAAAGAATTGCTGTGCTTTAGACATTCTGAAGGCGTTTCAATATTAAACGGAGTAACATCTCAAAACCCTTTTGGCAGGGTCCTTTTGGGGGCAAGTGTCTTGAATAGTGAGCTTTTCTGGCTATCATCACACAAAGAAAATCCCCCAGGCACAGAGTCCCTTGGGTAGGCAGGATGGAGGCTCCACACAGTCCAAAGTTACCCCATCATCCTTGGGTGTGTCAGGCAGTGGCCATACTAGTTCCTTTATGGGCTGGCATGTGTGCCTCTGCTGGCAAGAAGAGCAACTGCTAACACTTGCTCCTGGGCTCAGCCACAGACAGGAAGGAGAAAGCCCGGGGCACAAGGCTCAGCTCAGAGATGTGCCAGAGTGTCCTCGCTGTGCATGAGCTTTGCTCTGAGCTGTAATTGACCTGGACCATGAAGCTCCCAGTGGGGGCAGGGAGGAGGTGGAAAGGATTGAGGCTTCCCTGCTTCTCCTTCCTCGCTGCTGACAGTTTTCCAAGGCAGGCACCTTGAGTCTCAAGGTGAGACTATGCACTGCAAAAGTGCTCAGCAGCCAGAGCAGAAGGTGGTGTGGCCGCATCTCTGTGGAAAGGATAGCAAACTGTATCAGTCTTACTTGTAAGGGGGTGCGATCACATTTATGAAATGAGGAGGTGGAGGAGGCCTGGGTAGCTGCCAGCATCAGTCAGTCTGGGGGCACATGTGGTCCTAGGTGTTGGTGAGGACAATAGAGGGGCAAGGCAGGCAAATTGCCCTGGAAGGCTGTCTCTCAGGCTGAGAACCATTCTGGTTTCCAAGGGCTGTGGGTTTTCTTTTCCCACGGAGAGCAGGCCAATGGCAGCAATACCTCGTTTCTATTTGGCTAGGCCTTAGGAGCCAGTGGTTCCGGGGAGTTCTCTCCTAGACTTAGGGACACCGTACATATTTCAGGATAGATGCAAGCAGAAGAAGGATATGGGTAACATGGGTGATTGGCTGCCAACCTGCCAGTGTAAGGCCTTTACCCTCATGGTCTACTCCCAAGAGACCTTGGTGGTGCTGGCTTTCAACCTGGTTTGGAAGACTTTTCAAATGGAATTTTCAATTAGAGCAAGTGAAACATATGTTTAAGTTCCTATTTCTACCATATAAAGGGCATGGAGTGCACAGTATCCCTCCCATTCCATGCTGTTGATTCCCAGTCCCAGAAGTAGCTGCTCTTTATCAGGCTGTATTGCATCCTTCCAGACATATGTTAGGTTTCTTTTTTTTTTTCCCCTGGATTGCTTATCTTTAATGACTGCTCTTTTCTGACCTCATGTTCACTCATTTGCAAAACTGAGAAAACCATAATAAGTCCACGTGTATGCATAGCCCAATAATAATCATAATCAACATTTGGCCATTATTATTTCATCTAACATGGTTACTAAACTTTTGTGGAGAGGGAAAATTCCAGGTCCCATGTCATATCACCTACCTCTCAAACCTAGCTGATAAAGTTATAGTTGTCTGCAAACCTAGTTGATAAAAATTATTTTAGAACATAATCACTGTGTTATGAGCATAACTAAAAAATAATCCTGAATTTCTGATTTCTATGACTGATTTGGAACTCCACTGAGCTTTAAAACTACATGCAACTTGCCTCTTCCCTGGGTTTCAAACATAGACCTCCCAATTTACCAGAAAATTACAGAGGGTTGGAAACTCAGGTTGCAACAACCTGAGACCCCTCCACTCTCCTTTCTGGCTCAGAGCAGAGGCCCTCTCTATTCAAACATTCTGTTGCAATAGAAAATTTTACAAGCAATTTTCATGTGTCTGGAGTCAGGGGAAAAAGGAATTCTATAAAGGCTGCTCTGCCTTTGCATTCTAGGTGACACTAGTAAAACTGCCTCTGTTACCCAACGAATCCATTGGAATAAATGGCATTGGTCCTCTCAAGCGGGGTATTGAGAGCCAAGGATAGCAGTTGTGTTTCTGCTGTGCTCAGAGATCATACCCAAGATGCAGTCTCTCTGGAGGGTCACACTGCCAATCTAATATCAGTTCAATGTCAGTGACATCTTTGGACCCTCTCTCTCAATTCTTTTGAATAGTCAAGCCAGTTGACATGGAGTTGCTTGTATTAAGTTCTAGCTACAAATGCATAGGACATAATATATTGCCAGTCTTCTACCAAGCCAGCCTTCTCAGGGATCATAAGAAGTAGTCACTAGCTTTCCAAAACTGGTTGGGGAGGACATGATCTTGGGGAGTACAATTGAAGACCCAGCTCTAGAGCGCATGCTAGCAGGTGAACTCAGGCTGTCACTGATGCCTTGTTCTTCCCCTGTTCTCTTTTACCATCTTCTACAGGAACATAAAACAAGACCATCATACTGGGCACTTGATCCCTCATCTGGATTCCTGAGAGAAATTCACTGGACTTTCTTGGGTTTAAGCATTTAGTCTGCCCAATGGAATACAGAGAAACCACTTGCTCTGTGGCCTTCAGAAATGTGGTCCTGTGGGATCACAGAACAGAGACTGGAGGTAATATCCAAGTGTTTAGCAGTTGTTTGCAGGAAATGTCACAGCCAAACCAAGCAATGCTGAAGGGGCCCAGGTTCTTGGAGATACCATCAGAATTGCGTGAAGCAAACTGTTTACTAGTTTCATACAATCCTGCATTGTTTCCACAGGCTGCCCATACAATCAGCCTACTGCCACCAAAAAGACTGGCAATGCCCTCTTGAGGAATCCCTGTGTATTACCAGCAACCCTGCCGGACAATTCAAGAACATTTTGCCAAAGGTACCCAACAGGATCAATGGAAACAAAATCCAAGAAATAGGTGAGAGTAGGTGGATTTTTAAAAAGGCCTCTTGAGGACCTGGAAAGAAATCTATGAGGGATTCTGGGAGGGCATAAGGGATTGCTGCGACATACTGTCAGGTTGTATAGTGGGACTGGGACATTTTGCATTTTAGGGAGCTGGAAACGTTAGGAAAGTAGGGGCAGTGAGATGACACAGTCACCTGGTCAAGTTCCTTTTCCAGCCCTTGGCATAAGAACAAGCTGGAGATAAGAAGATCTGTTTCATCAAGGGTTATGGAGAGAAAAAAATGACAGAAAAGAGAAAGAGAGAGGAAAAAGCATAGCACAGACCATAGAGAAAATGAGGCTTGGGGAGAAGACAGTAAACAGTAAGTCAGGGGAATTGGAGGAAAGGAGAAAAATGTCTGCTGGGGAGCTGTGTTGGATAAATTGCTGGCTATGAATTTACTGGAACACACATGTTCTTCCAAGTTGCCTAACAATCCCCAGTACTGGCTGCTCTGAAGCCAAAGGGGAGATGCTTGCTAAGGCTCAGTCTGAGCTATTTCTCCTGTGCAGAGCTGTCTCAGCTGTTCAGGCTGTGAAAGATTGTTTCCCTCACACATCCCTAGTCAGAATCCCTGAAGTTTGAACTCAGTTCGTTCTACTATCTATGAGCTGAGGGCCCATGTTTGGTGACTCCTGGTTCTTGATCTTCCACCTCCTCCATGGCCGTTAGGACAATTATCATGCAGAAGACTATTGCTGACACATTCTTACAGCTGAATTTTTATAGCAGGGTAGGGTCTATACCTGGAGAACAGGGTAAGGGAGGGCAGCTGCTCTGGGATGTTTTAGTACCAGTCTGATCTCTGCAAAGATACTTGAATACCATTCTAAAGGGGCATCACCAACATGGTCACGTTCTCCTTGGGACATGTATAAGAGCAACAAGTCTAGCATTTTGAACAAGCGTCAAAGACTGCAGGTCTTAGGACTCTGTGGGCCTTCGGGGCATCTGAATAAGATTCACTCATTTTCTAACAGCAGTGCCCAAGCTAGAAACAGGCCTCATGTCATCATCCAAAGAGAAAATAAATATGTAAGTCCTAGCACTCTCTCCCCACCAGGAAGATTCCTGATTGTGCTCAGTATCTCCCTCCTCACTCTTCTTACTCCAAGACAAAGTCACAGCAAAAGTTCCAGGAGGCCTTACCTTCCTTCCATGGAGCCACCCAGCAGATGCAGCCCTATTCTATGCCAACCAATTTCCTTACAGACCATCAGTGGGTGGACACTAGCCTCTAAGCTAAGAGCTGTGCCTCTCTGAAGGGAAAGAGGGCATTGACATGAGTCCAGTTAGGCACTGCTTAAGAATCACTTATTCTAGAATATCTTTCCACACTAATCTCACCTAGTCCTGGGTGCTCAAACACCTTAACAATCCTTAGCACCATTATGGCTTAGACAGTCTTCAGATTTTATTTCCCCATTTTTGCTGCTTGGCCATATTTTTCTGGTATTTCCCTAAGGCAAAGACAATGCTTATCTTCTCCCTCTGAAGCCTGCTGCTTCATCCCAACCCACTTCTTGCTTCTGTCAGCCTAGCCTCAGCAATCTCATGAAGACATTGGACATTCCCTGGGTGAAATGTTAACTGCCTTATTCCCAGATCGTGTTATCGGCTTGTCTTACGCAGATTATCCTCTTCTGCAATTGTCTGCATCATTGACTTTGTCCTTTTCTTTAGCCTATTCTATGAACTTGTACAGGTCTTGTCCCCTTTATCCGTTGGGTCCCCTGAGGATATCCTGCTATTCTATCTATAAAACTGTTACAATTCCAGCTTTCCCAGCTTGGTAACAATCTAGTTGTAGAACTAACAACTTGCATTTTGTTCTAATTTGGTAGAAACGGAGGATTTGGAGGAAATTATTTGGAAAGACAGTTTTCTCTTGTATTTCTAGAACTGAGAGGGGAAACAGATCTTATTTAGTGAGGAGTAGGAAAAGGGGAAAGGTAAACAGGGCAAGGGCCTTCAGGTGTGAGGGCAGAGGCAGCTTCGAAAGGATTGGGAGATAACATCTATGTTTGGGACCCTGACCTTTTGTTGGGGTTACCACTTTCATGGTTTTTCATGCCTTTGCTGCCATATCCCTCAACAGATAGAACCAAGAATCTATTTGGGAGCTTCTATGGTCTCTTCATTTTATTTCCTTCCCTAATCCACATCCAGATATCTCTGCCACAAAGTGAAAATTCCAGGCAAGAATTAGCGAGGGGGAAAAAAAGAAATATATCAGCAAAAGGCAGAGAAGATGGAGCCCTTAGAGAAGGGAGTATCCCTGAGGAGGTGGGGACAAGGGGAGGAGAAGGGGAGGAAAAAGGGGAGGAGGAGAGGAGGAGGAAAGCAGGCCTATCCCTTTAAGGGGGTTGGCTGTCAATCAGAAAGCCCTTTTCATTGCAGGAGAAGAGGACAAAGATACTCAGAGGGAAAAAGTAAAGGAGCGAAGAAGGAGACTGGAGCCACCAGGATCCTTCCAGCTGAACAAAGTCAGCCGCAAAGCAGACTAGCCAGCCGGCTACAATTGGAGTCAGAATCCCAAAATCATGGGTGAGTTTCTGAAACTTTAGCATTCAAGATTCAAGCTGACATGGGAATTCACATGAGAATTTCCCAACTTTGAGATTTGGGGTTTCCAATGCTTTAAATGAGCTGTGTTTGGGGGCACTTTTTCTTTGTAAATTCCTTGGCATTGAATTAGATTAACTCCTCTCTTGTCCTGAGTGTAATATTTTATTGCTGAAAAATTCCAGCAGCAGCAGCACTTGGAGAGTCACACAGATCCTTGGAAACAGCGTCCAGAAGGATGGATGTGGTCATATGTCCTCCTATCCTCTCACTTGTACCTTCTGTTTTCCTCTGGTCTCAAGGCCCTAGTAATGGCCAGGTCAACTGGCACCCCTGCTTTGGCTTTAGGAAACTGACTGTTGGCTAACCTGTAGATGTGCAAAATGACAGCTGGCTAGCTGCAAAAATTTGGGCTCTATTGGACATCAGTTGAAAGATGGGAAATTTGACAAGCTGCATTCAGGCTTGACTATAGCTAAGGAGGTGATCCTCAGGTTCTGGAAATGAACGTAACATCCTTACTGGCTTTACCATGGGGAATGGCTATGGGCAGGTGTGTGTATGTAAGTCTTGTTAGTGCATGTGCTTGTACGGGTGAACATTTCTAGTAAATGCCACAGACTTAGCTTCTAAACAACCAAAACTTCATGACTCTTGCCAAGTTGGAGTGATAAGGGTGTCTCTAGGTTATATACACACAGAAGCCATGAGGTTCTGGTATCGGGTGGTGTCTATTCAGGTTAAGGGTCTTTGTCCATATAGAATAGCACAGAAATATGTATGCATCACTCATATTTGGCAAAGCAAGGAGAGCAGGTTGAGCACCTTGTAAGGGAAACAAGGCTCAATTGTCCCATGCATTCTCCTTCAGAGGTGGTACACAGTAGGCTCCCACAATGTCCATGGAGTTAGCTTTTCAATGATGTTGATTTAATATCCGTCTTAATGTTGTTTCATCCTGAAACACCAAGAAAGTTCCCTAGGATGTGTATTCAGGTCAGATACTTAAGAGGACAGAGCAATAGAGTAGGAATCACAACAACCAGGTTCAAAATACAGAGCCGCTACGTATGAAGTGCCCACCTTGGGCAGGTTACTGTGAATTCACTTCACCATCGAGAAAATGAGGCTAGTAGTAACTCCTTTGCTTTCAGGGATGTATGAATCAAGTGCTAATGATGTGGAAATCCTTGAAATTGGGCAATCTGTATAGCAACTGTAAATCATGGTAACGCCAATTACTATTCAATGATGTGTGTACAAGAGAACTTTTGTTCTTTCCAAGGTAGTTGATTCTATTTGTGTGCTTGGGGAAGAATCATTTGACCGATGATGTTTGTCTGGAAAGGAGGTGAATATTTGAGGAACTCAACTCCTGCCCTAGGGGACATCTGACAACCTGCCTGCTGTCAGGCCAGCTGATTGGGTAGGTTGTGCATTGAAAACATGAAGAGGTGTCAAGAAGGCTGTTGAGTATTACCTTCTCAGGGGATTGAAATCCTGAGGAAAAGACAGTAACAAATAAGATGATCACAAGCTTCCTGTTATGGAAGCTGTATGAGTTCCCCGAGAGGAAGAGTGCCACAAATAAGGATTCCTCTGTGGATAAATATTTGGTTCCAGTTTCACCAGTGGACAATATTTGAGCTGTGTAAACATGATGCAGTAGCCATTAAGTGTTGTGTTATTCAGTGATAGAACATACCGATTTTGTGAATGATATGCATCCCTAGTTGAAGCCACTGAACTGCTGCTACTGGTGTGGAGTATATTGCTACTTTGCAATTGCAGTAAATGAATTATATCATGGAATTAAGAGTTGGAATGAACTTTAGAAGTTGTCTAAGCCAATCCACAATGCAGGATCCATTTCTGCCATAACCAATAAAATGTTTGTATAGCCTCTGCAAGAAGCTCATAGCACCTTAATCATATAGAATGTTTTAGGAGTGGAAGAAAAAAGGAACACTGTACTCAGGAGTGTTGGCATAAAAAGGTGGATAGGGAAACAATACTTCGGCATATTTGGTCCTAATTTGAAAAGGGAGTTTTCTAAATGACTCTTTGAGGGTAGCAGTGCAAGTGGAAAGGCACCAAAAAGCAGTAGCTGATTGTTCTTTGCTCAGAAACACAAGATCATTACTGACCAGCAAAACATTGGCTTCTGCAAGCCTGTTGTCATCTGAGAACAGCGGCTGTAACCCTGGCAACCAGACTATGATGCTTCCCTTCAAATGTGGCTGTTTGCCGAGCCAGTGTAGTTTTGACTGGCTCTGAGTAAGTGGGCGTAGTCCCAGCAAAAACTGTGCTTGCCTGGCAGTGGTTTGCTTTTTAAAAAATGCCAGAGGACTAGCTGAATCCCTTCAGGATGGCAATACCATGAGAATACCAGGAGTCATAAAGAAACCAGATCCATACCAGCCTGCTTACACTTCCTAGACACTCGGTAGAATGATCAAGGGCAGCTTTCCTTTCCCTCCTCCCACTCCTGAGTCCCACTCCTGAGCTCTCCCCTTTGCCAGTAGTGAGAAATCAAAGGAACTGGTAGAAGAGCCAGGCAGCATGAGAGGTTTACTCTGCTGCTTCTAAAAGTTTTTGCTCCAACTCTGAGACAGGAAAGCCAGATGTCAGACTCAACAGCCTGAGAACTAGAACTGCTCTCTCAGTGTTATGTGAGTGGCCACAACTTCAACCTTGGAGGTGAGTAGGAGGGCAGATTTGATTCTCCAAAGCTGTTAAAGTAGAATGTAGAATCCTGACCTTTTATACCATTGCTTTTTTTTTCTTTGGATGTATAACTTCAGGCTTTTAAAAGCATCCTCCTGGTGCAGCTCTGGAGTCTTGAAAGAAAGTCACATAGAGATGCCCTGCATGCCCACATAATTTCAGGTCTAGAGAAGATCAAGTCAGGGCAGAGACATGATCAGGAAGGATAAGAGCAGCTAATGATGGGTGAACAGAGTGGCTTTCCCTTCCTATCCCACTCATAGGCCTGGCTCAGTGCTAGACTTACATCAAAGTTTAGCAATTACTGATTGATTCATCTCTCATTGGCTGGAGTAAAATGGTCCTGGGAGCCATCTTTCAGCTCCGCACTAACCTCTGAGTTCTCTAGCAGGCAGGGCTCTAAGCAAGATTCAGTAACATCCCAAGGGTGAGAAAAATGTTCCCCATATCCCTTTCACACTATAGCTAAGGCAGGAGGAGTAGTTGGTGGGAATATGGTATGACTACTATTTCTCTTTCATCTTCCCGTAAGTGAACAAGGTGGAGACGATGTGCCACAGACAGGGTTTAGTAATCAAATCTTGTACTTCCCAATATTTACACATAGACTACCAAATGTGTGTGTCTATGGGGGTAGGGTGGTGTGGAATTTCTGAAGGGTATAAGGAACAAGGTGGCCAAGATATGGTTGCCATGGTAATAGTAATCTCAGGCTGAGATCTGTTTTTATTCAACCTTGTCCACAATAATTGATTGTCCAGCAGACTTGGAGTCCTAGAATTCAGCTTCTACAGATCCTTTCTAGCATTTGAATGTGATGTAAGTGCTGATATCATGTAGGAATGACAGAATTATAGGCTGGACTTTATCACACCAGGAGTAGGCCAGCAGCAAAACTCTGTCCCTGGACCTCCTCAGCCCTGGTGTTTTACTCAGAGAACCCACCCACTGAACTCCATCCTTCCCTAGTACCAGTCACGGCTGCTGTAACATCTTGGCCTTGTCAGTTGCTATAGGGCCTGATCAAGGAGGCTTCTGTTCGCTGGGTGAGGTTAAGGGGTGGGTTCTGGAAGAAGGATTAGACTGTAGTGCAGATTAGAAACTTAGGGAGATGGGGCCAGTTTCTTACTCAATGAGCTAGCCTGTTGTTTAGCTCTATTGTATAGGGCTCTTCTATCTCTGCCTTTGTCAGCTGAATTCAAGGGACAGGCTTGGATTGTGCAGTGCACAATTGGCCTCTTTCTACCATTCCTTTCGATGAAAGCCCTTCCTCTCCTCCCTTTGATGAGTTCCCAGATTCACACTGAAATTTCCATCATGGAGCTGATTCTTGAGGCATGCCCAGGGCATAGGAAAGGAGGGAAGCTTAGGAGTTCTTGGCCTCGGCTTAAAAAGACAGCATCAGGAACCACACAGTCCCTGAGATGGACCTGGATCTCCGTGTAAATTACAGTGGTCCTATTTATCTTCTTCTGACCCCTGAAGAGAGCAGTGATGAGAAAGGCTCAAAGTCTACCAGTGGTTTATCTTTGGGGATGTTTTAGAATGTGGCCAACTTTGAATTCGTCTTGTCCCTTTGTTACATTTTCTCTACAGGACATGGTTCTCTCAATCCTCACATCCAATTATAAGTAGCTTGGTGTTTGGTTCACAGATGGAACTTTGTTCTCCCTAATAGGATTGCAAATACTCTGAAGAAAGAGGCTGACCCTCTGAGTTCCTTTCTGTTTCTTATAGTGTCTAAATCACTACCAATGGATTTAATTCTTGCAGAGAGTCCATGTAAGCATAAATGGAGGGAAATCCATTACGAGGATGATTATTTTATCTGTGACCTCCTCATCAAAAGCAGGTGGTTTGATTCAATTCAGTTTGCCAGGTAATGTTATTGCTATATAGATCTCTTATGCCAAATCTGCTGTGTCACAGTCTGAAGTTAGCCTGGAAGTGTGAGACTGTCTCTTGAGAGAAGGAAGGAACTTCTCTTGTAGAATCATCAAGTTTTCTTGAATCAAACTCACGCTCTCTCAACTATGAGGGGTGCTAAAATGAAGAGCCTATAACTTTTATCTGTTGTTCACACATACTCAAGGGCATTTCTTAAACTGTGAAAAATCAGAGTTAACCCAATGAACTTTCCTTGGAGTGCTTTGATAAGCTACTTGGATGAAAAGGCAGTTTCTTGGATATCCTGAAATTTTCCCAAACAAAATTTTAAAAATTAACTTTTGCTTGGACAGACAGTAATTCTTCACTTTTGCTGAACTTACGTGTCCCCAGAACAAATGTTTCATCTTCATTGTAAAGAAATTGGCACCTAATGCTAATGATGATATTGTTCAACTGTTTATAGCTCTATAGTGATAGATTTATCCAAGGCTATTTACATCAGACTACACATTAGAAACCTATTAAAGTCTGTATCCATGTCTCTTGCTTTGAGCAACAGCAGAGCAGAAAATGGGGTGCCAAGCTCTCAGCTCTCTCAGAAAATAGAGTAACATGGGTGCTAAATGCAAAGAGCATCGCTTGGTAACTTAGCATTGCTCCCTAAGGCTGAGCCCTTTATCACCTAATAGAATATTACACAGGACACTCTCTGGCTGCATGAGTGATGGCCAAGGGACCAGATATACTAAAGAGGATTTCCCCTCTCAATCTATAATCCTGGAGAGGGCATCAGACCAAACATGGAATGGAATTCTCTGTTTGGCTAGCGTTAGTTGAATTCCTCCCATTCCTGATTTACACCTGCACCAATGTTCAGATCTTCCCAAGGTAAAAAACAAAACAAAACAAAACAAACAAACAAACAAGCAAAAAAACAAAACCTCGAGTGAGTTAGTAGGTCCAGGACAGCTACTTGCTGGGCTGGATGGCTTTCCTTCCCCTGGGTATACAGTCCTGCTATTGTCCTTGGTCCGACCCCCCTCCCCACCCCCAGGCCTGCGGGTCCCCACAGAATACCAATGAGGCTCCTGAAATCTCAGGACAAAACAAGGCTTCTTTGTCCAGGGGAGCTATGGAGGGCTCTGTCCAAGCCCTGACCCTGTGCTGGGGAGAGCGGGAACAGTGGGGTCACTGACCTTCTCCCCCCCCACCCCCAGGCTTGAGAGACCTTCTTTACCAGAGGAAAAGGAGAGTTTGGGGATAGGAAGGAGCTGGATAGGCAGAGAAGAAAAAAATGACAGTGCTGTTTATGTCCTAGCTTCTTTTCTTGACTTGCAGAATTTATCTTGTTGCTTAACCTGTTGAAAAGAAGGAGCTCAATTTCTGGAATATTTCCAAGAAGGAATAATTGGTTTAAGCAGTTTTGTTTTTTACTCCGGTATGCACATGTGGATGTGTGCACGTGCCCACACCATGGGCCAGTTCTGACGAGGCACAGTTAACTGTGACTCTTGGGGAAGTTCATGTGGGGTAGAGTCAGCCTCCACTTATAGCAGCACAGTTACAAATTAATTCCTTCTCAACAGAGGCTGAGTGTTCTGGCCTTGGAACGTTGCTTGGAAAAGGGAAGGGCTTGGTTCAGGGTGGCATGTCAGCTATTGACATTGCCCAACTTAGGCTTCTGAGCCATATCTCTGGTATCACATATAAGAATCTTGTAAGTAGAGGGGCTAGCAAGTTATAGGACTCATTCATTCTGGGGCTCAAAGAACAGAGACAAATGCTACTACCTCAGCTTTCCCATGAAAGTTCTTTCAAAACTTGTTCATAAAGATATGATTAAACTATGCAAATCATCAAGTGTTTCAACAGGGGTGAAAAGAAACCATACTAGTATTAAAAAGGGTCGGGTAAAGAATACCTTCCCCACAACTTTGCCCTGGTACCTTGAAACAGACAAATCTCTTGGCCTAGAGAGATGCTTGAGTATAAAAATCCCAATCTAAGAAATTAACGTAATTTATGTTCTTCTTATGAGGAATCACAAAATACTCATTTCAAAATCAGCAGCTTCTCTGAAAATTTTGCTGACTACCTGTGTGCCTACTCTATGAGCTCAATCATGTTATTGGTATTTCATAGGTTTCATACCATGTGATATTTTTACAGCATGAGCTGTACTTGGAATACACAGAACCTGTGACTTGTGTGTCTTTTCTCTTTCTCAGTAGCATTGCTGTGGGCCCTGCAGCATCAGATCTGGAGATCTCAGGGAGTCCCACTCAGTACTTTTAAACACCCGTGTTCTCAGGCCCTGGTGTGTTTTTCTTGTGCTAGAAAGATGTTTCATGCTTTGCTGACTTAGTATAAAGTCTCTTTGTAGCTTCAGTGACACAATGAGGGTGGGGACATTGGTCAAGCTAAAGTATAGGGACACAAAATATTTGTGCATAGTATCCAAAAATCATTAAGCCTACATGTGTATTACTGTGAATAATTGCATGTCATTTATCTATGCTAGGAAGAATCAAACATCCCTTGCAACAGATGTGTACAGTGATCAGAAATATGCATTTTACATAGTTGCCTCCACCAAAATGCTCTTCAAATTCAGATACTGTTTGGCAATACCAACATCTCTGATTTACACCTTTTCCTTCTTTCTTGAACCCCAAATGCATTTCCCCCTGTGAACACATACTTGACTACCTGAAATCATTAGTTGAGAACTACCTCACTTGTTCTTTCTCAGTACAATAAAGACTCCCTTATGACAGAGCCTGTGTCTTCCTATCCCATCTAATACTCAACACACACCAGGCTAGGCATATAGTAAGTATCCCATAAATAGCTGATGAATGACTACTGAAACAAACTGACAAACAGACTGGAGCAGTGAGAAAGGAGGTACTGATTTGACAAGCTCTCCTGCTTGCTACCTGAATTACTGAGTTATTTTTAAAAAGCCATAAATACTAGAAATTAAAAGAAAATATTTATAGGAATTGGACAGTGTAATGATTATGTGTCAATCATATTTAAAAGCTGAAATTTCTAGACTCTTCTTGTCTTGAGGTCTAGATTACCATTGCATCTGTACTCACGCCCACATGGGCTGGACCACCTGTCATGGCAATGTGAGTGGCATGAGTTACCTACTCCCCATGCCTGACTGTTTGTCTTCCTTTTCCCTCAGGCTTGTTAGAGTGCTGTGCAAGATGTCTGGTGGGGGCCCCCTTTGCTTCTCTGGTGGCCACTGGATTGTGTTTCTTTGGAGTGGCATTGTTCTGCGGCTGTGGCCATGAAGCACTCACTGGTACAGAAAAGCTAATTGAGACCTATTTCTCCAAAAACTACCAGGACTATGAATATCTCATCAATGTGTAAGTACTTCTCCCTCACCTTTGTTTTTCCCCTTCCTTCATTCTGGAAGTTGAGAACTTAATTAACACTAGGAGATGGGTGGAGGCATCCGGCATTGGAAGTCATCCTTCTCTATATAGATTCCACTTATACCACATCTGGCACCTTCAATGAGGAGAAAGTGCCAGACTCTAGAAGGAGAGGTTTGCTTGCCTGATACCCGCACACCCCTCCCCCACCCCACCAGCTTCCTTGTGTTCTAACTCTGCTAGTTATGGTTAATGTTGCCGGAGTCAGAGCCTCCACTGTTGTAGGTATGGAGAACTCAAAGGATAGTCCAATGACTAGATAGAACAGCATCACTGTTCTAGCTGTGACATCCTGCTTGTGTCTATTCAGGCTCAGATCTAAGCTCATTGTTTTCCTTGAGCAAGTTAAGCACCAGTCTCCTGCTCTTGCTCTTCTGTACTATGAGATGGCATCCCTGAAGGATCAAGCAAAAAAGAGTAAGGTCCTGGTTCTCCAGGTCATTAGCTGAGCAAGAGATGGAGGGAGGAGCAGGTGCTCTTGGCCACACACTCCCTTTATCTTCATTTACTTCAATGAAGAGAAAGTGAATGCACTGGGGAAGGACACAGTGATTGCTCTAGAAACTCTAAAGGCTCTCTATCTTTATTAAGGTTACCACCTAGGTGTGTACCTCACTTGTGTGTTCAAAAGGAGCTGAGTTTTCCGTGAATCAGATCTCTGTTCTCTTGTGTCTGTGTGTCACTGCAGGATTCATGCATTCCAGTATGTCATCTATGGAACTGCCTCTTTCTTCTTCCTTTATGGGGCCCTCCTGCTGGCTGAGGGTTTCTACACCACCGGTGCAGTCAGGCAGATCTTTGGCGACTACAAGACCACCATCTGCGGCAAGGGCCTGAGCGCAACGGTAACAGGGGGCCAGAAGGGGAGGGGTTCCAGAGGCCAACATCAAGCTCATTCTTTGGAGCGGGTGTGTCATTGTTTGGGAAAATGGCTAGGACATCCCGACAAGGTGATCATCCTCAGGATTTTGTGGCAATAACAAGGGGTGGGGGATGATTGGGCGGGAATCTGTTGCCTCATCCCCACCCAAAGCTGGGTCCCCTCTAGAGGCCTGGCTTTCGAGTGAGGAAGTGATGGCTACAGCCCCAAACAAGAAGGTCAGGAAGAACGTGGTGCCCAACTGACTTCATGTCACCTTTCAAAGGTTCCCTAGAAAATTACATCACAATGTGAGAAACAAGAGTTTCTGGAATTCTTTCTTGAATGAAACTGTTTCTAAGCCATCTGTTGGTATTCTCTGACTCCTTTTCCAGTGGGGGCCATAAGAGTAGATCTGAAGCTTTTTGACCAGAGTCTCAAATGCTGCTTCTGAAACTGAGACTTATGCAAGAGGGAGGGTGGACTATAGCAACTAAGCAATTGATTCTGAGCTGGAATTTACAACCTTCTGGGACTCTGTCATGCTTGGAGGTCCCAGAGGGAATAAAAGTGTAACTACATCTTCAATGTTTTATCTCAGTCTGAAGAAAGGCCACCCATCCCAGCTTCTAGTGGTGCACATATTGGTTAACATGTCTAGAGTTCAAGATTGTCTAGTGGATTATGTGTGCATTGTGGTATTGGATTTTTGTGACCAGCAGTTAGCTTAGAAAGGTTTTGTTTTGTTTTGTTTTGTTTGTACCTGAGATTTAAATTTCCTATTGGCTTTATTCAAAGACTGGGGAACCAGAATCTATTCACAAGGAACATTTTCTCGACAAGATCAACCTAAGGCACAGAATGGCACCACTTTCTTTCAAGATCTGTCTTGATTTCTTTATACCTCATCTTCACCCAAGTCATCCCTTACAGCTTTTCTAACCCAGGGATCCTCCTCACTCCAACCCCCTTCCACACATTACCCCCTCTCCCACCATCACCCTCCATCACCATTGGGTCCAGTTCTCTAGTGAATACTGCCAATGACCCATGGCAGAGATGCCCTGGTTGCTAATTCATTTGGGGGAGATCCTTGGAATCTGATTTCATTGTCTGACACATATCACTCCAGGATCTCCCAGTTTGTGTTTCCATGTATGGAAGCTAATGCTAATTTCTAACCACCCTATGTCAATCATTTTAGTTTGTGGGCATCACCTATGCCCTGACCGTTGTGTGGCTCCTGGTGTTTGCCTGCTCTGCTGTGCCTGTGTACATTTACTTCAATACCTGGACCACCTGCCAGTCTATTGCCTCCCCCAGCAAGACCTCTACCAGTATAAGCAATCTCTGTGCTGATGCCAGAATGTATGGTAAGTTAGAGCATGGGTGCTTGGTCCCCTGCCCACCATAAAAGGGCTATTATATATTTGGTTCTGTTCTTAGGGTAAAGACTATTGATTGAGGGAACAATTTAAGTTTATGAATGCCTAGGATTTTGTTTGTCCATCTCTTGCCATGAAAACTGGAGATATGTAAGTAGTGGGAGGTTTTTTGGCTGTTAATATTGCTTTAATCTAATTTACTGCTATTTCCCACACCCAAGCAGCACATTTCAGATAAAAAACAATATTTCACAGCTGTTCACTACCACCCTCTGTTTCTGTAAATCTTTAAAAGATCTTTATTGTTGGTGAGATCCAGTTATAGCTAGGATGATTAGAGATGGACAAAGGGTTCTCAGGGAAAGTCTTCATGTGACCGCATGAAGTAAACCCTGGTCAACTTTTTTTTTTGTTTGTTTCATTTTTTTGTCTGTGTCTCTCTCTCATTTAGGGGTTCTCCCATGGAATGCTTTCCCTGGCAAGGTTTGTGGCTCCAACCTTCTGTCCATCTGCAAGACAGCTGAGGTGAGTTGGTAATTTTTATTAATTTGCACTGGAATGCATGATACCATACCCATTCTTACCCATAGCCTTCTGTTTTAAGGACTGAATTTTCTCTTTGCCAAATTTAGAATTAATAGACTGCATTCTACAAAATATTGGTTAAGATTCCTTAGAGTTGCATGAAAAAAAATTCCACTCTAATTCATCTAATTCTTCCCTCCCCCCAAGATAATGTGTAGTTTTAGGTAAAAATGGAGTTTAATAGCATAATTTCCCATATGGAAATTTTCATTCTTTTACTTAAAAACTTGATGAAGAGACTAGATATACAGATATACACTTAGGATGCATGAAGCATTTTTAATTTGGAAGTTCTTAATTTCTAGTGAGAGATAAAATCAGTACATTTGAAAGGGGAAATACTTTACTGAAAATGAATATTTTACACAATTCAGGCAGGGGAATACCAGTAAGTTCTCAGGAGGACGGCAGAAAGCTATTTCTTTGAAAGCCAAATGTTGACACAAAGATAGGAAAGCAGTCCATTATTTGAGAACAGTGCTCTGTCTTATGAAGGGTCTGTGTTCTTGGTTCTGTGGGACTAGGTGCTATAGCATACATTGAAGAACAAAAGGCCTGCACATAGGGAAGTGAAAATCCAGTTAGAGATGCAGAATTAACACATATGAAAGGGATCAACACATTCAGAAAGTTGTATTCATGATTTACTGTGGAACATTATTTTCTTTTGCTGTTTTAAGAAATAGCTCTCCATTTTGCATTTTCCCACAGTTCCAAATGACCTTCCATCTGTTCATTGCTGCGTTTGTGGGAGCTGCAGCTACGCTGGTGTCCCTGGTGAGTTTCTTTTGAATGAAACAGTTCTAGGATAGATTCAGTATAGATATGCTGAAAGGCAAGAAGATAGACTTCCTCCAGCTTTCAAATGGAGAAAAACAATGGGGAAGAAACAACAAAGTGTACAGACTGTGTGCTGCTACTTTGCTTTTTGACAAAGAAACAACCTTCAGAAATTAGACAGGATCAGGGTGTGAGGAAACAGGAGGTAAGAGATTCATAGAAATGAGCAATAACATTTACTATTTACAGAGCATATAAGATACATTTATTTGGGTGCAAAATATTTTTAAATCCATGCATGATGAGGTCTAAAAGGTTCATGGAAAATGAGTATATGGAAAAAGCTGTGTGTGGATTTCAAAATTGTTTGTGTCAAAATGAAGCTCTCTGTTAATTCCACTTATCACAACCCTTTTAGGGTCTCCCCAAGTCTACTCTAAACATGAATTCATCTTGGTGACTCTGCAGTGGGTTATAGTATCGTGAAAATACCGGAAAAACCTCTTACTATGATTACAATTGTTATAATTCTGACGTAATTCTATATTCCATGTCCTGATGATAGTTTTACAGCGCAGCATCAATGTAGTGAACTCATTGGGCAGATTCAAAATGCAGTGCACTAGAGGATGGAAGTGATTTACTTGAAGTCATTGAACAAATGGCCATAATAAGGATAAGTTGATGAAACTCCTGGTTTATACTGCCAAGCCTGCACAACCTAGAGTGGGCTCTATGTCTATAGCAAGTCCCCTGTGACTTCAGTTCATTCAGCCATGTGGCTGTGGCATAGCCTAACCACTGCTCACTTCCATGAGGAGAACTCAGTTTTAGGCTGAGTACATATGGAGAATAAATTTTTGGTAATTTGATTCTCTGAGCCTGTACCATTTGGGAGGAAATCCCTCAGAGACAACTGCTTGTTGAGTGGATAGATAGGAAGCCTTGGGTCATGCTGTTTCTGGCAGAGCAAGAGTTTTTCCTTTGTTTCTTGAATTATGATTTTCTTTCTTATGCCTCCTCATTCCCCAAAGGGACAGAGGAGAGAGAACTCCCAAGTCTCCTGTCAATCATATGCTCTCTTTTATTTTCACAGCTCACCTTCATGATCGCTGCCACCTACAACTTTGCCGTACTTAAACTCATGGGCCGAGGCACCAAGTTCTGATCTCCTGTAGGAATTCCCCCCCTTGTCTAACAGCAAGGCTCTAACCACACAGCCTACAATGCTGCGTCTCCCATCTTAACTGCCTTTGCCACTGACTGGCCCTCCTCTTGACGAGTGTAACAAGACAGGAGAGTCTGGCAAGTGATTAATGTCTCTCCGTGGACTCTCCCCACTTATGTACCTCTTTTAGTCATTTTACTTCACGGCTGGTTCTTGCCAGAAATGGGAAATCCCTTACTGCAAGTCACATGGGAATAGAGGCTCTGATTCAGTTTCCCGGCATCTCCTGAGTACTGGGAAGTGCCTTCTTCTCAAAGGGCACTTCCATCGATGGAAACAAAGATGCTGAGGTAGAGAGAAGGAAAGTGTGTGGTCCTCTTGTCATTTATAGGGGTCAAATACATTCTCATGCCTTTATCCATTTGACCACCAAAGAAAGAAGGAAGAAAATAGCTGGCAGCAAAAACAAAACAAAAGAGTATTTGCCCTAATCTGCCTACTGCAGCTGGGAGAAGGGGGTCAAAGCAAGGATCTTTCACCTACAGAAAGAGAGCACTGACCCCAGTTGCTATGGATTATGTAAGCCCTAACTCAGCCAATCCTACTCACACCACAAGGGAGCCTAGTGCTCGTGTAGATGAAGGGGGCATCTGGCCTTACACATCGTTCAATAAGAAAACAGGGTATTGTCATCATTTCTCACTCCCTTCTCCTTGATAATAGCTACCATGACAACCCTGTGGTTTCCAAGGAGCTGAGAGCAGAAGGTAGTTTCCAGGAAAGAGACTGGCATAAGGAGCAGCAGTTGCTGGTGGTTAACGGTGTAACCCAAATAGCCCTCTGGTAGACACAGGACAAATAACTCTTTGGATAGCATGGCTTTTCTGTTAATTACTTGTGTACTCTGGCCTCTATCATATCTTCGCAATGGTGCTCTTTTCCTGGGGTATTATCCATTTAGTCATAATAGCAGATTTGAAAGTTTGTGTCAGATTGGTGCACATTTGAAATTGCTCATTTGTTTATTGTTTGGTTGAGGTTGTAGCAGTAAGATCTGGGAGGGTCTCTGATGTTATTTATTTTTCAAAGGAAATTTGATATTTAAAATCAGCTAGTTCCAGGAATCTATTGAGATTTTCTCCAAGTATTGTGTCCTTTGAAGGGACTGATTTGATGATTTTGAATCTCAATTTGAATAGCCTATTTGATTAGAAGATGGGAGATGACTGTGCTTAGTGATGTTACCCTGGCATGCTAAGAGTGAGGTTTAATATAAAGTTACTTTTTCCTGGCACAGATTATATAACAGAATACACTAGCTATCAGCTATTCAGTTGGTAAGACTCCATGGTCAAAAAGACAGGCAGAAAGAGTTTGAAACATGAATAGCTCCCTCATTTAAATCTTTTCCTGCTTTTGTTAGTTTTAGATTAAAAAAATAAAAACAACACCACCTGATTGACTTTTTACTGAAGAAGAACGTTTTTGACTGTGGCTCTTCATTGGCAAAGAAAGAGTAGTGCTGTTTTTCCCCCCAAAGTGTTCTCATTGATGTTTAAGGGGATACTGGATCTTGACAAAAAGAGAGCAGGTATTTGTTTTCAGACCAGTGGACTAGATAAGCTTCCAGACTGCGTAGACAAGAGAGGGAAATGAATCTATAAGACATGAATCAAGATCAATGAAAGTGAAGTCATCTATACCTTTTGTTTTGTTTTGATTTAATAACATAACAAATAACCAACCCCTCCATGAAAACCTCCCCCAGATACATACACATATATATACATACACAAAGAGAGTTAATCAACTGAAAGTGTTTCCTTCTTTTCTGATCTAGAATTGCAATTTTAACACATATAAAGGATAAACTTTTAGAAACTTATCTTACAAAATGTATTTTATAAAATTAAAGAAAATAAAATTAAGAATGTTCTCAATCAAAAACTGTGTCCTTTGAGTGAATTGTTCTTTTTTCAACCTCACAATAGAAACTTAGCCATTGTACATGGGTCAAGAAACCCATTTGTTCATCAGGTCAACTGCATTGTTCTTATATCACTTATATGAAGTACATATATATATAGTAGATAAACAGATCCATTTTATTTTATAGCTTGTGGCACCAAGAAAAAAGAGGACAAGTCATCTACTCAGAGAAACCCAGACTGTACCTGTCTGAGCTTGGGCTAAGACCTTAGCCTTGCCACCAATTCATTGCCTGTTCCAAGATGTCTTTTCTTTTTGAAGTTGATTTTCAGAGTGCTCTATTAAACAAAAGTCAAGGGTGGTTACTTCTTCCATACCATATTGCCTGCCTCTGGCGCATTTACAATGAAGTCATCATTACCTTTTAAAAAAACTTGTTTGGCTAGTCTAATAATGATCCCTTAGTGCCACATATATAAGCATTTCCAGGTAAACACTTTTATCTGGAAAGTGCTGGATGAGAGACTTGATAATGATTAAAAGGCAGAGCAGAGGAGCTGGTGCTGTGGTGTAGCACACTAAGCTGAATTCCATGGGGTGCAGGTTTGAGTCCTGTTTGCTCCACTTCCCAGTCAGCTCCCTCTTAATGTGTGTGGGAAAGCAAAGGGAGGTGGATCAAGTGCTTGGGCTTCTGCACTCATGTGGGAGACTTAGAAGAAGCTCCTGGCTCCTGACTTCAGAGCCACCTAGCTCCAGCCATTGTGGTCATTTGGGGAGTGAACCAGTGGATTAGAAGACCTCTATCTCTTCCTCTCTCTGTCTCTCTTACTCTACTTACTCTGCTTTTAAAACAAATAAATACAACTTTTAAAAAGGCAGAGGGGCTAGCACATTGACTCAACTGGCTAATTCTCCACCTCTAAGCATCAGCTTCCCATCTAGCTTTCTGCTGGTGGCCTGGGAAAACAATGAAGATGGCCCAATGTGTTGGGGTCCTGGACCTGCATGCGAGATCTGGAAGAAGTTCCTGGCTCCTGGCTTCAGATCAGCTCAGCTCCAACCATTGTAGCCATTTGGGGAGCAATCCTGTGGATGCAAGATCTTTCTCTGTCTTTCCTTCTCTCTATAAATGGCCTTTCTATTAAAAACAAATCTTTCTTTAAAAAAAGGCAGAGTAAATATTGCAAAGGCAATGTAAATATAAAGAGGCCATGGCAGGGCCTCTTTAAGTTATGATACCCATTGGGCCTGGCGCAGTGGTTAAGGTCCTCGCCTTGCACACCCGGGATCCCATATGGGCACCGGTTCTAATCCCGGCAGCCCCACTTCCCATCCAGCTCCATGCCTGTGGCCCGGGAAAGCAGTCGAGGACGGCCCAAAGCTTTGGGACCCTGCACCTATGTGGGAGACCCGGAAGAGGCTCCTGGCTCCGGACTGGCATAGCATCGGCCGTTGCGGCCACCTGGGGAGTGAATCCTCGGATGGAAGGTCTTCCTCTCTGTCTCTCCTCTGTATATCTGCCTTTCCAATAAAAATAAAAAATAAATCTTAAAAAAAAATATGATACCCACTGCCATGGAAGATCTCCTGCCCGCCTGCCTCCCTGTGCCAGGACATAGCATTAAAACCTCATCAAACTCCTAGACTAGAATTTGGTCCCCTTCTTCAGCACTCTGAGGAGCAGCCTAAAGAAAGCAGACTGAGAGCTGTAGATTCATGATCCCAGGGGCACAGTGGGCAAGGACTGTGATTGGAGACAGATTTTAACTGGGGGCAACAAGTTAAGGAGCTGTGTTCCAAAGCAGTTTCATGTTAATCTGATTTTTGCTTCACCACGATTAACAGTCCACAAGCGAGTCCAGTCGAGTGACTTTAAGACAAAAAGAATGAAAATATCACAAGGGCTTATTTTTAGACACTGGCAAACAAGAACACACAGCCCCATATTTCGGAGAATTGATTCAGGGTGCTACAGAGTGAATGTATTTTTTGCCTCAGAGGAGCTGAAAGCTAGTTCCCAAGAAAGCTGTGTGTTCCATCTGCCCTGATTTGGCTCTGCCCTCTGGGACGGATATATAGATGGAGTTTCCAGGCTCTCAGAAGCTGAGAGCATCTCCAGCCCATCAATGGAAGCCATTGTTCTTAGCTCTTCCACACACCATGAACCTCCTTTCTCTGAACTAAAAAAGCTATCTTTGTTCTTAGATAAGCCAAAGCTCAAGATACAGCAGTATAAATAAGCAACATTTTCATACGGCATCAGTTATATGGCTTCTCCTGTCATCAGGGTCAGCCCTGAGTGCGGATGTACAGCAGGTGGAAGCGAGCAGCTTTGTCCAGAGCAGCACTGATTCATTGATTAATTTACTCTGTAAACATCCATTGCACACCTAACAAGCTGTGCTGAACAACAGGAGATTGTTTTTGCAGCAGAAACGTGATCTTACCCTCAAGGGGGCTCTCAGCTTCCTGCCCTCCCCCAGCAGAGATCTCTGAGGGTGGGCAGGCATGTAGGCCAGGAGCATGGAAAAGGCGATTTGAGTGGCTGACTACAGTGGGCATGTGAGTTCTCCCACTTAGTGTGTGGGAGAGGTGGGGGTTAAGGCCTGTGACTTCACATGGCTCTGGTTTTCTATGGCCCCTGAGAAAACAAAACTTCAATTTAAAGTCCTGACAAATTGTGATTTGCCTGTTCTGTGTCACCCTGCTTCTTCTCTTACATGTGACAGCGTTTATGCACACATTGCCACAATGCATGTACTTACTTCCACCCACTCAGTCATTTGGGAGTCAGAGGGCACATGAATCAAGAATTGCATAAACACAAGCTATTCAGCCTGTTTTCCTCCTTTATCTAGGTTAAATCTGAGGTGGCAATGAGAGATTTTATAACCTAACAAAGTTTTTCTCTCTTAAGTGTCTTTACTATAAGCACAGATAGTGTATCAATGTTGTTGACATTAACAATGATATTGGGGAATACTAAATAAGAAGAGGAAAAGCATTAGTTAATTTTGAAAGATTTTATTTATTTGAAATGTAGAGTGACAGAGAGAGAAAGAGCCCTGCTCCCTGTTGGTTCTCTAGATGGCCACAGTGGCTGAAGCTAGGCCAGGCCAAAAATAGGAGCCTGGCTCTCCATCCAGGTCTGCCATGATGGTGGTAGATCCAGGTACATGGGCTGTCTTCCACTAGTTTCTCAGGTGCATTAACAGGGAGCTGGATGGGAAGTAGAACATCTAGGTCTTGAACCAGCACCCACATGGGATGCTAGCACCACAGGCAGGAGCTTAACTTGTAACTTATTTGTTTGCTGGGTTTGCAACAAGCAGCCATGCTCCTCAATATTTTGGTTGTCCCACAAATTTTGATGTTTATGTGCTCCTTAGGTACTTCTTGAATTGATTTATTTGATTCCAAAGGGGAAATATAAAATAAAGTGATGCATATTTTAACAGATTATGAAAAACACAAAGGAAATTAAACCTTAACATTTTTTTTCCCAAACCCTCAACAAATATTTTTTTTTTAACAAATTCTCCATGTCATGTGTTCACTAGGTTTTGTAATACAGCAGTGAATAAACCAGTCTCAGTCCTCATGGAGCTCAACTGGAGACCAAAAGTGTTATTAGTCAGGAGTATAGGGATCATGGTGAAGAGTGAGACAACCATCTATGAACAGAAACATTGAAAAAGATTGAATTGGAGAGTTCTGTACAGTTCCACCAGACACAAAGGGTCATGTAAATTAAATAGAAACATGTGAATTTGTATTCAACAGAAGGAAGCCTGCTATTCTGTGGCATTTATAGCTGAAAAATGTTGAATAGCTCTGGACTCTCCTGCTTACTGACATGGAGAGTAACTGAGCTTTGTGCTCCAAAGAAGCCAGCTGAGTTGATCATTCATACATAATGTGGAACTCAATTTTTCAAATAGCGGAAAGAAAAGAAGGACACAAAGATGGATTCTGGGGGCTACCCTATTAAAAAAAAAAAAAAAGAAAAGCTAACAAATTTGAAAACATGGGTAGTTACTTTTGATTAAAACCAATAACAAACTACATGTGGAAGAATTTTTTAAAAGGTTTATCTTATTTACTTAAAAGGCAGGGTTACGTAGAGAGAGTTTTCCATCTGTTGATTTACTCTCCAATTATTTGCAATGACCAAGGCTGGGCCAGTCCAAAGCCAGGAGCCAGCAGCTTCTTCCAGCTCTCCCATATGGGTGCAGCGGTCCAAACACTTGGTCCACACTCCACTGCTTTATCAGACACATTAGGAGGGAGCAGGATTGCAAGTGGGTCAGCTGGAACTCAAACTGGCACCCATATGAGATGCCAGTGCAACAGGTGGAGACTTAACCCTCTATGCCACAGTGATATCTCCATGAAAAAAACACTTTAAAAATAAGGGCATGTGGCTCGTTACAATGGCTCAATGACTAAATCCTCACCTTGCATGCCCATGATCCGATATGGGCACCAGTTTGTTTTCCAGAACAGTATCAGAAACCTATTGTTTGTTATCTCCTCCCCAAAGCAAAAGCCTAAGGTAGCTAAGTGCAAGATGTCCCCAACATCCTCAAGTAACTTTAGTTACTTCCAAGAGGACCAGAGAAAAGATCTAAATCAAATTGTAATGCAATTCAGTGAAGAGAATGAGATACAGTAAAATGAATGGAGTTGTTTTCAGTTCGCAAATATTTGAGAAATCTTTGCTTGCAAGCAAGGTTACAAAGCGCAGGGATCCATTGTATTTTGTCTCATCCCCTTTGCCTCTGCTTTCAGGATTTAAAATTGAGTAGAATGGTGTCCCTTCGACTCATGATTCTGCCTTGGTAGTGTTCTACCACCCAGTCTCCCGTGAGTGCCTATCTTATACATTACTTATGGTATGATTGTCCCTATTTTCAGTCACCGCAACAGTCACTTCTCTCTCCAGTATCCTCTAAACAACCAATAACCTTCCTAGCTGATCCCACTAGGTTTCCAGATACCCTGTTCCTGGCAAGAGAT